TCCTCCTCCTGCCTCAGTCTGCTGAGTGCTGGGATCACAGGCAAGAACCACCACACCCAGTTCTATTTAATTTTTTGGTTAGTTGGTAAAATACTTAACTTGCTTTGTGTCTTATGTCTACCAGAATCCATACCCTGAATATTTTGTAGTTGGAAACTTAAATGAAAGTATAGAATATAAAGATCTTTAGGCTAGAAACATTTGAAATTACTTTTTCTTCATGGTATCCATGCCACGACAGTCAGATAATATCCAGATTGAAGCCTATTCAGAGAGACAGAGAGAGTTTCACAGTTTCATAATTGTAAATGTTATAATAATCTCACAGCTTCTTCCCAGTAACCTTGTTCCATGCAATAAAAACAATGATAGTCTGTGCAAGTGCAAGGACCTGAGTTCGATCCCCGGTACCAAAAAAAAAAGAAAATCAATGATAGTATTTTCTTGCATTTGTGGACAGACAATATAGATGGCCTCGTGATATCAATATGTGGCTTTCTTTCCTCTCTAAAACAAAATTAAAAATTCAGTACTGCATTCAAAAAAATCATATTCCAAATGCTAGACATGGTACTGTGCACCTGTGATCTCAGCCTTGTCCATGCTGTGCTCATGTTCTACCACCACATCTCCAGGTGTTGTTGTTATTAAAATGTGGAGGGCTGGGGATTTAGCTCAGTGGTTCCGGCACCTGCCTCACAAGTGCAAGGTCCTGAGTTCGATCTCTGGTACCAAAAGAAAAAAAATGTGGAAAAGTTCACAATGTCTGGTTCCCAATCTTCAAATAGGGTGGGTGGTGGCTAGATTAGGATGTGATGTTTCTCTTGTGGTTTTGAACACAAATGATGCATAAATATGAGGGTCTTCTAGTCTGGGAAGCGTAGTGAAAGAAAAAGACACTGGGGAAATGGATCAGTAAACTGTTGTCACAGACTTCCTATCCCCGAGTCCTCAGCACCAGAGAACAGTCCGGGTTGTTGAACACGGTATGGATGGATAACCCTCTCTGTGTGCCGTTTCCATCCATCAACAGATAAAAATGAATGCCAGTTAGGAGCCACCGTGGTCTGTGGGAACCACACATCCTGCCACAACACCCTCGGAGGCTTCTACTGTGTCTGCCTTGAAGGCTATCGAGCTACAAACAACAAAAAGACATTCATCCCCAATGACGGCACCTTCTGCACAGGTACTCCAGAGGGTGCGGTGGCCTTGGCTGCTTGGCAATGGCAGGACAGTGTCTGGGCTGTGGAGGTGGAGAGGGCAGGGCTCTCACAGGGTCTGACCCCGAGAGAGACTCTCCTTTAAAAATAACTCTGCATGCCTGTAATCCCAGCTCTCTGGAAGACTGAGTCAGGAGCATCACAAATTTCAGTTCAGCCTGGGCAACTCAGTGACTTAGCAAGACCCTGTTTCAAATTAAAAAAGGGCTGGGGATGTAGCTCAGTGCAAAGGCCCTCAGTTCAGTCTCTAGTGCTATAAAAACAAAACAAAAACTATGAAGGATATTTGGATACAGACTTATTAGTCAGTGTTAATTATGTTAGGTGGAATAATGGTATTGTGTTATATAGGATAATAATCTTATTTTGGGAGATGCATGCTGAAGTGTGTAGGGGTGTTATGAATAATCTAGTGTTACAGTATTTGGAAGATACTTTAAATGGCAAAATGTGAACACATTTTTGATGGTGGGGTGGGGGTGGTGTATGGGAGTGGTGGTAGTGTTATTTTTCTGATTCTGTGTTTGATGAATGGGGAGGGCGTCTCCAGAGACGGTGTGCCAGCTGCAAGTTCCTATAACCTAACCGCCTGTGTGTGTTTTGAGACCACAGTAGGTGGGTAGGTCAGATTTCTGGCATATGTTGGTTGGAATGTAAAGGAGGGAGCAAACCACCCTCATTTTCAGTGGTTCTTCTATTATCTGGGCTATATTTACAGAATATCTTTGGCTTTTTTGGGAGGGGTACTGAGGATTGAACCCAAGGTGTTGGCAGAGAGCTCTGTTCCAAGCTCCTTTTAAATTTTTTAATTTTGAGACAGACTCTTGCTAAGTTGCCCAGGCTGGGCTCAAACTTCAGACCCTCCTGCCTCAGCCTCCCAGAGTGCTGGGATTACATGTGTGGTAAGCTCTGGAAGCTCTGAAACTTTCTAAGAAAATACTTATAAACCATCATGAAGAGGAAAGGCAGGAAAATACTTCTAGCTTTAAGATGGTTTGTATAGGGCTGGGGATTTAGCTCAGTGGTTCTGCTGCCTGCCTTGAAAGTGCAAGGACCTGAGTTTGATCCCTGGTACCAAAAAAAAAACAAACAAACCAAAAAAACCAAAAAAAAGATGGTTTCTATAGACTTCATGACTGCTTAAAAGGCTTTGACTGAGGCGGGAGGAGCAGAAGTTCAATTCCAGCCTGGGCAACTTAGTGAGACCCTATCACAAAAGAAAAAAAAAAGAGTTGGGGATGTAGCTCAGAGCAAAGGCCCTGAGTTCAGTTCTTAGACACACACACACACACACACACACACACACACACACACACACGAGAAGCTTTGTGATATTTAAAGGTTTTATGGGAAAAGAAAGGGAGAGAAGAATATGTTGTATCTTCCTACTGCCAAGAACCATAGCCTCTGATGCTGCGTTTCATTCTCCCTCTTGACCTGTACCAAGGTGAAATTCCTTAGGGGATGCAGTTGGTTCTTTCTTGGCATGAATGGATAACATTCTCAGGGAAAACATTTGATGCTATCTTGTTTTAGGTAGCAAATTAATGGGCATGTGGTTGAAGAGGTGCACTAAATTAAATTAAGAATGTTAAAAAGAAATGAATTTTTAAAAAAGCCTACAAGATGATTTAGTAGCCAGCTTATTCAGTACACATTTTTCATGTACATTTTTTTTTTCCAATACCAGGGATTGAACTCAGGACCTTGTGCTTGCAAGGCAGGCGCAGTGCCACTGAGCTAAATCTCTGGCCCTCTCATGCATTTCTCTGGCAGACAGTTATGTTAGTGGTCCTAGTGTCAGCCACAGGAGAGCAAAGGTGTTCATTATCATACCCGAAACTGTTCTTGGGGCTGTGGGAGTTTGACAGGAAAACTTTTTTTTTTTTTGGTACCGGGGATCGAACTCAGGACCTTGCACTTGCGAGGCAGGTGCTGGAACCACTGAGCTAAATCCCTGGCCCAACAGGAAAACTTTTTATAGCTGTATATTTATCAGTACAGTTCCAAGGTGTGCAATCAGCTTTTAAACGTTAGGAAGAAGAAAGAGGAGGAGGAAGAAGGAGGGAAGGTTGGGGAAAAGAAAATATCTGCAAGGACCAAATAGGTGTCAGTCAAATAAGAGCCAATTTTCCACAAAGTCTTGATCTAGGCCCTACTGCTATTTATTCTACTTCTTGTTATTATTTAGTGATCATCTCCTTCACAAAAATTGAGATGTAAATCACATTCCACAAATCCCCTGGGCCCTTTTAGTGTTCACTTCCATGGTTTTTGGTGTATTCATGGAGTTGTGCTACTGTTACTGCTATGTCATTTTAGAACATTTCCATCACCCCAAAGTTAAGTCCTGTGTCCATTAGCATCATTCCCATAACCTTTCCCTCTGGTGTCTCCAGTTAGGTCTTTGTAAGAACTGATGCCTGACTCTTCCTGCCAGTACCAAGTTTCTTTCCAAATCAGAGTTGCTAGGGAAACAAACACCAGTGGGCTGGGTCTGAGCTTAATGAGTCTTGTGGTATCAGCCATTACCCAGTGGGTGTGAAGCCTAGTTCCTAGATTCCAAGGAATCCTGAATCCAGGTGCTTGTTGTATGAGGTATGATCTAAAAATACAGTGACTGTTTAAATAAAAAAAATTATTACAATAAAGGGCATATGGTCATGAATCCCCCTCAAAACGCTGTCCTTCACTTTGAACTCATTGATGTCATCGTTCATGCCACTTTCAGAAGTTCTGGAAGTCTTCTTTTATGTCTTTAGTTGTGCTGTTATGGTTGCCTCAGTGTTCTGCATCTATTCAAGTGTTTACCTTTCATGGTCATTTTTTTTTTGGTACTGGGGATTGCACTTGGGACCTTATGCTTGGAAGGCAGGTGGTGCAACCACTGAGCTAAATCCCCGGCCCCTTTCATGGTCATTTTGACTTGGGGAAAGAGGCAAAAGTCACATAGTGCCAGCTCTGGTGAATAAGGTGGAAGAGGACACACTGTAATATTCTTACAGGCCTGTCTTTCTGTTAGATGGCACCATATTTTTCATCATACATCATAAAGACACTCACAAAAGAGGACTTCCAGAACTGCTTCAGAAAGTGTTAAGAATGATTGAATAAGTATGTTCAAATCGAGGAGTGGTTTTTTTTTTGTACCGGAGATCAAATTCAGGACCTTGCGCTTGCGAGGCAGGCTGTGGAACTGATGAGCTAAAACCCGGGCCCCTGAGGAGTGTTTTGAGGAGGATAATGGCAGGCAGTGTGTCTTTTACTGTAGCGAATTTAAACGTTTTAAGCATTCACTGTGTATTTTGATCACCCCTTGTACTTTGCAGAGTTGCATCAAGCTCAAGAGGCAGACAGGCCTCTTTGGAGGTCACCAGTGGTAGTCGAGGAAGGAATTACAGGGGTTCAAGTGTGACGACTCCAGCCTCTTTGAGAACTGGTAGATGTTCTGGTCCCCAGAGCTGCCTCCTCAGTAACCCCCGGGGACCACAGAAACTTTGCCAGAAGGCCCAGGCCAGGGGAAGAAGCTCTGTGGCAGTTTCTGTGGGGTGGGGTGACTTTGGTGGCCTGTGACTAAGTGGAGAGAAATGAGCCTGGTGTGGGAACAAGGCTGCAGCTGTGACCTGCAGCCAACAGGACTCCAGGTAGGTGTGGCCCTCCTAGAGTCTGCTGAAATCTCCAAAAATAGCTTCAGCTTCTTCTCTGTCCCTTGGAATTCCCCGACTCTTGGGGATCCAGCCCACCTCTGATGGCAGCAGCAACCTTCTTTTTTGTAAACTCATTTCCTGCAGCGCAGGGCTTGATGCTGTTGCTTCTGGAGAGATGTAACAGCTCCTCAGCCTTGGCTGAGATGGGCGATAAAGGCAAAAAGAGGACCTGGGGAGTGCATGCCTTGCCATCCATGAGCTCCGGGGACCTCCCAACCACAGCCTGTGTCCTGTGGGTGCCATTCCTAGAGGGAACTCCTCACCCCTACAGAGACCACGTGAGATGTGTTTGTTTCTCTCCAGGGTGAGATCCTTGTTCTCCGTGTGAGCCCTGCTTCATGGTTCTCCATGCCTGAGCTGTGATCTCCTGAGCAGCCCGTCGTGTCACAGATGTGTTCTCCTCTGAGACTCTGCTTGCGCTGGGGGGGGGGGGCAGGCATGGAGGGTCACTTAGTAGCCTTTTGTAGCTGTTCTGGGTTTCTCCCAGGGGATTTTCCAGTGGAAACCTCACACCTCCAAATCCCAGTCCTTTGTTTTAGCTGGATTTTATTCTTCCACCCCCACCCTTTTTTTTTTTTTTTTTTTGCAGTACAGGGGATTGAATTCAGGACCTTGTGAGGCAGGCGCGGCACCACTAAGCTAAATCCCTGACCTTGGATTTTATTCTTGGTAGTGGGGATTGAACTCGGGTCCTTGCCCTTGCGGAGTGGGGGGGGGCAGGTGGTGGAACCACTGAGCTAAATCCCTGGCTTGGATTTTATTCTTAAAGAGGCTTTTTTTTCTGCTCTGAAAAAAGGAAGAAGCCAGGAAAGACAAATCCACGGAAGAGCACACCAGAAGGGTGCTGGCTACTATTGCCCAGAGCTGAATTTGTAGCTGCTGGTTCCTTGACATCCTCCCCGCACAACCTCCCTGACTCCTGCTGGGGTTTCCAGCTCTGGTGGGTGAGGGTATCGGGCTCCTCCTCATGTTCCAACTCCAAGGAATGAGAGAGGCCAAAGACCTTCTATCTCAGGAGATTAAACTCAGACTCCATCCCCTACAATGCCAGAGGCCTTGATGGAGGCACCTCTGTCCTTCTTTGGGAGTGAGTGGGGGCTGCCTGAGCTCCTGCGCAGGTTCACTTCTCCCACACTTGACTCTTGCCTCCTGTCACTTGCCCCAGCCCCAGGTAGGATTTCCCAGGTTCTTTCCCAAGGCCCTGCTGAGGACTGTAAAATATGCAAAAAGGATTCTTTTTCAGAAACTCCACTGATACAGTTTTGGGAAGAGTAATTAGGGCAGGAACTGGATTCAGAGTTTTGATCTTTGAACTATACATATGTTTTCCTGCTCATAATCCCCATACATTGGTGAGACAGGAGGATCCCAAGGTTGAACTTAGCTTGAGCAACTTAACAAGATTCTGTCCTGGGGGAAAAAAGGGGTCTGGATGTAACTTCAGGCAGAGGCCTTGGGTCCAATCCCCAGTAGCATCATCACCACCAAAAAGAAAAAAAAAGAAGCTTTTCCTAAGCAGACTATTAGTACTGGCAAAACTGTGAAGAAAATATTTAATATTTGGTCCTTTGAAACCAGTGCATTTCTGAGCATGACCTCCAGACTTGTTTTCCATTTATTCAGCTACTACCTTAGCAGAAGTTGTGTATGAGGAAGAAGGGAGCTCTGCAGTAGAGTATATCTGAGTGGGCCATTTAGTTCTTATTGTAACGACTCAGAATTATTCTTTCCAAAGGAAGTCAGAGGGCTGGCGATTTAGCTCAGTGGTTTTGCTGCCTGCCTCGTAAGCACAAGGTCCTGAGTTTGATCCCCGGTACCAAAAAAAAAAAAAGAGGTCAAAAAAATAAGCCAGTATTACCTCCTCCCCCATATGAAAGAGTATAGCTTATTTTTATCCACTTATTTAAAAAAAAGGAAAAAGAAAAACTCACCGAGACACAATTCTTCCTGGTAAATTGCTATCAAGATAGCTCTATGCTGGGCCGAGGATTTAGCTCAGTGGTTCTGCTGCTTGACTTGAAAGCACAAGGACCCGAGTTTGATCCCCGGTACCAAAAAAAAACAAAAAAAAGATAGCTTTATGCACATGTACTATAATAATAATTGTAGATTAATAACACATTCTATTAGTAATATGTTTATGTTTTTCTACAAGGTGATGTTTCACTTTTACAATGCGATATCATGGAAAATAAGGTAAACAAATTTACTTCACTTAACATGTGATCATCTTTTCATTTCAATACAAATAAATTAAGTTGGACATTGTGACACATGCTTGTAATCCAAGCACTCTGGGAGGCTGAGGCAGGAAGATTGCAAGTGACCAGCTCAACAACTTAGGGAGATCCTGGCTCAAACAATTAAAAGGCTGGGGATGTATCTCAGTGTGAAGGCCCTGGATTCAGATTCAATTCCATGTTTTTTTTTATCCAAGAGAAATAAAACTGTTTTTCATAAATGATGTATGAAGACTTATACTCAGATATTTGTAATAGTCCAGACTGGAAACGGCCAAATATCTATCACCAAATTGTGGCATAGTCACATGAAACAGCAAAAACAAAACAAGCCCAAATTAAAGCAAACCAAAACAAAACTAGCTATTAATGTACATGCAACATAGTGAAATCTTAAAAATATCCTGTTGAGTGAAAGAAGTTGCACTGAGAATATATATAATGTAAAGTGAAATAAATCAGACACACAAGTTTAAATATTGCATGGCTTCTCTTATATGAGAAACCCAAGATATAAAGAGCAAATAAAAGCTAGATAATAGGAAACAGAGAAACAGATCTTTTGCAGGAGACGGAAGGAGGGGAAAGGAGGTGAAGAAAAGGGGAAGTAAAATATTAAGATGTGTTATATACATGTACCAACTTCGCACAAGGAATGCTTGTATTATGTACTGCAAACATATACTAATAAAAAAATAAGAATTTAAAAAAATGTACACAGTGAAATATCCTGTTTGTATAAAATACCATACAGGGCAAACAAATTTAGGGAATGGGAATTTTGAAAAAATGATTATTTCTGTCTTGGAGCATTAGAATCTAATTGAACAAACCGTATAGCTACTTCTCAGACCCCAGCCAAATAACAGGGCCTTTTGTGTAGAAGATGACAACTTATCAACAATCATCATGACAGTTATTGGTTGTTTTTTTTTTTCCCCATTAACTTTATTGGTACATTTTAGGTATACAATACAGTTACATTCATCATTGGGATCTTGTACCATTACATGAGTCTTTTGGTTCTTATTTTTTTTCCCCCCTTCCCTTGCCCTCCCTTCACCCCCTCCACCCTTCCCTATTTGCAAAGACCTTGTTTCCATTTTTTTCCTCTTCTCATATTTTTTCCTTTCCCTTTTTTCCCTTCCCTTACCCCTCCCAATTACCCTGCTCTTTCAGACCTTTTCTTCCTGTTACACAATATCAGTTATACATGTTTAAAATTACAATATTAAGATCTAGGAGACATTACCACAGATTTTACAGAATTTAAAAGGATATAGAAAGCATATTACAAAAATCTGTTTTGAAATAAATTTGACAACTTCTAAGAAGTAACTTAGAAGACAAATTAATGAAACTAACTCTGGAGGAAATACAAAATTTGAATAGCACCTATTAAAGAAAGTATATTCCTAGCTTGAAAACTTACCTATATGGCAACAGTAGGCTCATAAACATTTTAACTGATAAATTATATCAAACAATTAGAGCAGAAAAAAGAAGGAACACTTCTCCCCTCATTTTAGGAACTCAACATTGTGCTAATCCTAAAACTGGATAAAGTTAATAGAAGAAAAAAGTATGAACATAGATAGAAATTTGTTTAACAAAACAAAGTATTAGAAGTCAGATCTGGCAGGATGTAGCAAGTGGCTTTGTTATAGGGACGGCAGTGTTGGTTCAGCATTGGAAGATCCACCCCCAAAAGTCATCATTTTAACAGAGGAAAGGAAAAAGCCATATGATCTTGTCACTAGTTGGAGAAAAAGTATTGGACCAAATTCTACAGCTGTTCATGGTAAAAGCTATCAGGAGGCTAGAAATAGAACAGAAACGTCTCAACAAATTAAAGACATGTACTCCATACTTCCAATGAGAACGCTTTGTATGAATGGAGAAGATACAATGCTTTCTCCTTAAGGTGGGGAACAAGGGCAGATATGCTTACTCTTTATCTGTCCATTAAACTTTGAAACCTAGTCCCCACCAAAATAGTCTGGCAATAAAATGACACAACTAGGATAGGATTGGCACAACAGAAGCAAAATCTTTATATGTAGATGAAATGATCATCTACAGAGAAAATATTAAGAAATCTCTAGGAGCCCCTAGAACTTGTACTTGAATTTAGCAGGATTAGAAAACACAAGGTATATATAAAAATTCAGATCTATGACAGTTATTGTTAGTAGGCTGTTGAGTGTACATGAAGGAAACTGATGAATGGCTATCATTTCTCCTACTGTAGAGCTGGTCAGCATCTAGAAGTTCTGAGTCTTTCTCTTCTCACTACTGCTTAGCCATCTTTCTCTGGGAAGCATTTATTACTGTTTATTTTTAGAAATCCCCCGAAGGGCTGGGGATTTAGTTTAGTGGCGCAGTGCCTGCCTGGCAAGTGGAAGGCCCTGAGTTTGATTCCCAGTACCAAAAAAAAAAAAAAAATCCCTGGAAAAATCCTACATTTATTCTCATTTCATATTTTTGAGATGTCTGGAACAGATGGAAAGATATCACCAGCATTGGCCTGTTGAATAACGTTGTCAGTGGTCTGGACAGGTTGCATAGAACTTTTTCATTAAATTTATAGAGGACAGTGGAGCTAGACCAGTGACGGTTTCTTAACTGAATAAACAAATCTTGCTGAGCTTCAACAATGAGTCAAACTTTGGAACAGAATAGGCTGCAGTGATAAAAATCATCTCTCAAATTTGTACCAGATACTGATTTTATTATACAGTATTTATATCTTAAGACTTGTAATAATCACTAAAAATTGAATTATTATATTACCAACGATTGTTTACCTATGTATTAGTTTCATTTCTCTTCACTCTGAAGTACCGTCTGCCCCTACTCCTCACCTTTTTTGCAGTGGGGGAAGGCGAAACCCAAGGCCTCAGCATGCTATGTATGCACTATTCTGCTGTGCTACACCCCCAGCTTTTCTCTTTATTCTACTTTTTCTTTTTCCTTTATGGGACTGGGGATTGAACCCAGGATCTTTGCACTGAGCTATATCCTCAGCCTATTTTTCATGTTGAGACAGGGTCTTGCTAAGTTTCCAAGGCTGGGCTTGAACTTGTGATCCTCCTGCCTTAGCCTCCCAGAGTTCTGGGATTACAGGTGGGTGCCACCATACCCAGTCCCTCTTCTTTCTTAACATTCATTCTGATATATTTCACTGGCTGAAGTATTTTCTCAAAAAATTTTTTTCATAAAAGAAATGTCAGCAGTTTAATTTCTGAGATCATTCATATTCTAAAATGTCATTTCTTGGCTTAAATAGAGCATGAGGTTTTGTTTCCCTTTCCTTAGAACTCTATAAATATTATTCCATTTCTGTGTAGCATTTAGTGTTTCAGACAAGTCCTGGGTCAAATCAGGTTTCTTTTCCATAGGTTACCATTCTTTTTTTCTCAGTAAGTTTCTTTTATTCCATGGAATTCAGAATGGCTCTCATTTTTCTTTTTAAAATGTATGTATGTATGTATGTATTTTGTGGTGCTGGGTCTGGAACCCACGGCCTCACACATGTCAGACAAGCAAGCACTCCGCTACTTGAGCTACATTCCCAGTCTCTCTACTGCCTGCTTTTAAAAAAATAACAGCTTCAGGGCTGGGGATTTAGCTCAGTGGTTTTGATGCCTGCTGTGCAAGCACAAGGACCCGAGTTCGATCCCTGGTACCAACAACAACAGAAACCCCCCATCTTCACCGAGATGTAATTCACATACCCTTAAAATGTACCCCTTTAAAGTACACAATTCAGTGATGGTTAGTATATTCACAGAATTCTACAAGTATCATCACTGAACTTAGAAGTTTTTCATCTCTCCCAGAGAAACCCCATACCCATCAGCTCCCCCAACCCCCTTCCACTGACCCAGGCAACTACGAATCCACTTTCTGTCCCTGTGGATTTGCTTATTCTAGAGACTTCGTATAAATAGGATCGTGCAATATGTGACCTTTGTGTTAGACCGAGGTTTTTAATCAGTTCGGTTATTTCTATCAGAGACTCCCTTTCCTAGCAGTCACATCTCTGACTTGTCTACCTAGGGTAGGGAGAAGGATGGATAGGAACCCTGTAGTTGGGGCAGGAAAAATTAGGGGTGGGCCTAAGGGACTCCGGCACAGGGAGGTAGGTGAGGGAGGGCCAGAGAGAGAGAGGCAGCAGGAGAAGGCAGGCTCTCCTGAAGTCCTTGCTGTTTAAGCTGAAGCTTCATTTTGCAGCCAGTGCCCTGTGTTATCCTCAGGAGTAGGGCTTTGTTTCAGCATGCGTGCCTGTCACCTGAAGAGTCTTTTTGCAGTTGGATGTATAAACTGAGGGGTATTTTTCCCCACTTTGAGATTAATTTTTACATGTACATTCCCTTCTCTTCTGCACTAGGCCATTTTGCTGGGCATGGTGGCACATGCCTATAATCCCATCACTCTGGAAGGCTGAGACAGGAGGATGGAAAGTTTGAGCTCAATCTGTGCATTTTATCAATTTAGCAAGACCTTGTATCAAAAACAAAAAAGGAAAAGAAAAAAAAAAGAAAGAAAAGAAAAGAAAAGGCTGGGAATGTAGTTCAGTGGTGCCTCGTCTGCCTGGCAAGCGCAAGGTCCTCAGTTCAATTCCCAGTACTTAAAAAAAAATTAGTCCTCCCAAAGTTGCTTGGAAATCCCAGTCTAGGAGCAACTAAGAACCCCCCCCGCCACCACGGTCCTCACAGGTATCTAGGAAGAATGCTATTTCTGTAGGGGCTTTTTTCTTTCTCCAAGTGAAGTCGATGTGCATGGCTCTGATGGCATTCTTCAGGTTCTTAAACCACTTCTGAGAATAAACCTGCTCATGGGCGGAGAGGTTTCTTCCCCAGTCTCTGAATTGTTGTACAGTTTTGCCTCTGTACTTGCTATCTCTGGCAGTCTTTAGTCAAGGGGAAAAAGTCTCAAGGATCGTGCCTTGTCCTTCTTGAGGCCTATTTTACGCCTTTCTAATCTTGATAATATTACTAAGCTCCTTCCCTCCTCCCTCATGACTTGACATACCATTGTATGCTCACGAGCTGGAGATCCAATGGCTCACATTTTTCACTCTAGTGTAAAATTGTTTTATATTTGGAGCTCCATTTTAGATTTTTTTGTTTGTTTGTTTTTTGAGACAGGATCTCACTATGTAGTCCAGGCTGGCCTTGAACCCTTGGCAATCGTCCTCCTTCAGCCTCCTGAGTGCTGGGATCACAGGTGTGTGCCACTACACCTGACCATTTTAGCTATTTTAGTATGAGGTTGGGACCATCTTTATTTTACAGTAATCAGGTTTTTTTTAACGTACTGTTTTGAGTTCTTTTTATTGGCTGTCGGGGAACTTGAAATGGTTGTTGACTTTTGCTAATTCCCAGGACACATTGGCAAGTATTTATTTGAGTACCTCCTGTGTTTTCTGTGCCTACTGTGTGAAGAGTATATGAGAAGGACCTTTAGGGAGTGAAATAAAATGCATGCTGCAATTGCAAACGTCCGTATGTAAGGGCAGGTAGATGACGTGAGAAAAATGGCTGTCATAATGTCCGCCTGTTTCTTCTCTTCCTGTTCTTCTCTCCTTTCCCTGTATTTGGGGTGGGTCTTAAGACATAGTTGAGTGTGAACTTTCTGGCCTGTGCGATGTCAGTTCGTCAGCACCCACCGGAAGCTTCGAGTGCTACTGTATGGATGGGTGCCGAAGTACCGGCCTGTGCCCCACCCCCCAGCAGAGACACCCTGTCATGCGCAGGCGAGTGTCTGTCAGGGGATGAATGCCTCACCGCAAGATGAATTCTGGGGATGTCACTTTCTTACGCATTGGTGTTTATGGCTGTGTGTGGGTATAGATTATCTGTTCTTTTGCATATTTTTTTTTTCTTTTGCATATTTTTACGGCCTAATCAAGATTGAAAGGGCTAGGTGAAAAAAGCTAAAATTAGTAAACACTAAGTATTTTAGCAGTTAATTTTTTTCCTTATTGGGGATTGAATCCGGGGCCTTCACTCTGATCTATAGTCTCAGCCTTTTTTAAAAAATAATTTTTTTCTTTTTTAGACAAGGTCTTGTTAAGGCACTAAGTTACCTAGGTTGGACTTAAACTTGCAGTCCTCCTGCCTCAGCCTCCTGGAGTGCTGGGATTATAGTTATGCATCACCATGCCTGATAGTTAATAGATATTTTGAGAGGTTTTTTTGTTTGTTTGTTTGAGATAGGGTCTTGCTGTGTAGTTCAGGCTGGCCTTGAACTCATTATGTAGCCCAGGCTGGCCTCAAACTTGAGGTGGTCCTCCTGTCTCAGCCTCTTGAGTACTAAGATTATAGTTATGCACCACCACACCCAACTTAATAGATATTTTGATATTAACCACTATGTTAGGTGGTGAACACAGGTCCTGTGATAAAGCCTCAGCATCTCACAAGTGACACTGAGTTATAAATGTTTATGTATCTTAAAGTATTTTGCAATTCAAAGTTTTTACTTTATTGAGGTAGGCCTTTCTTTAGTTAGTATAAATAGTGAGTGTTGATTGCTAAATTTTTTTCAGGTTTGTTCATGTATTTCTATGGATAATTATCTATGGAAGGTCAGAGGATTGAATAAAAACCACCATTGGAAATATGCCTAGATGCCAGGTGAAAATGAACAAATATACTTAAAATAGGGCTGGGATGTGGATGTGTGGAATGGGGCAGTGGAGATAGATTGTGAATTTTGAAAATTTATGTTCACATACTAATACATTTGACACATATTGGTTTTCAGAAATAGACTGCGGCCCCCCTCCAGAGGTCCCAGGTGGCTATATTATAGGAAATTACAGCTCGAGGCTGGGCAGCCAGGTCCGTTATAGTTGCAAAGAAGGATTTTTCAGTGTCCTGGAAGATACTGTGTCAAGCTGCACCCCCCTGGGCTCATGGGAGTCGCCTAGATTGCATTGCCAAGGTGAGTTTTCCAAAGTTTCAGGCTCCCAGTTATGCCACCTTGAGATTGTTTTCACATTTATGTAAATTTCATTTGAGCTAGTAAATGAGTTAAATAAATCCAATAAATCTCTATTTGTTTCCAATAGATTCTCAGTTGGTTCTGTTGGTATTTTCAGTAACAATATCCTATCATTTGCAAATCATGATAATTCCATCTTTTACTTTTCCATATTTTTAAGTTATGTTTTCTTTTGATGGGTCACTTGGCTGGTGTTTTTCACAATGAAAACTTAAATAGTAGTATTGACTTTAAGTGTTCTTTTCTTATTCCTGACTTTCATGTAAATGGCTTTGATGTTTCAACATTCGTGATCTTACCTTTCTGATATTGTGCACTTTTTGATATAGCACTGTGTACTGAGTACTTTCTAAGCACTGTATGTATAATTGACTCATTCGATCCATATAATATTCCTAGAAATGGGTATTATTATTGCATTTTACAGATATGAAAACTCCTCTATAAAGATATGGAGAAGTTAAGTAATTTGTTTAAAGTCATACAAAATTTGAATCCAGCTATTTTAGTGTCAGTGTTTGCAATTACTCTGCTTTGCTGCATCTGTTTTTATCATGTTGGCTTTTGGCCTTTTTCCCCACTTTTTGCTTTCTCTTTATCTCCAGCTATCACACCTCAAGGAAGCAGTGATTCATTCCCATTTATAAGGATTTTTAAAAAAAAATAATAAGTGCGTTATCTTTATCATGTCTTTTAGGAATGTATGAAGATGATTATGTATGTGTCTTCCCTCTTTGTAAAGAGTAATGTTGTAGGTTATATTATTAGATTTCATGATAAAGATTAGTACTAATTCCTAGGGTGAATTATTTTGGATTTTTGATGTATTATTCTTTTAGTATTATGTGCTGCCAAAGTAAGCACGTGATGTGTTATTCTTTTAATATAGATTATATTTGTCAAATTTTACTTAGAATTCTTCTGTTGATAATCTTGAGATTGATCTATTTTCTTTTTCTATGGCATTTTGTTGTGTTTGGTATCAACAGTATTCTGATTCTAATTTATGTATTCCTAGAAAAATCATCTATTTTACCTGGATTTTTGGGTTTATTTGTAGAGAAAAGTATAAAGCACTAACACTTTCAATTTTTTCATAATATTTGTTTATAACTGTTTATAATAGTAAAATTATTGGAAACAATCTCAAACATATATCAATAAGTTGGTTAAATAAATCATAGCATAGCTATGAGATGGAGTGTTTTATAGCCAGTAAAAATTGTGTTAGAAAAGATTATTTACTGACATGCAGATATTAATGGTTTAAGTTACAGACTGTGTGAATAATATCATCTTAATTTTGAAAAAGTTCCTATGTAGAGATACTTAGGAAAAAGTTTAGAAGACTATTCATCAAAATGTTAATGGTAATGATTTCCATTGAGGGGAATCCTGGATGATTTTTAAATTATATATGCCTGCTGTATGAAAGGATTTTTAAAAAACATACTAGACAAAGTAATAAGGAGTTTTTCATTTTGGCAAAAAGATATTTTTTTCATTGAATTTATTGCATAGCTTAATGATGATGTGCATGACTAAATCCTTTTGATGGCTCATAAACACATTTTGATGGTTTATTATTCTCAGGATTAAGAAATTATAAAGGTGCATTTTAATTCTAAGATTATCTTTCAGTGGATCAATTAAAATGCAGAACTTGGATTAAAATGAACACAACAAAGAAACCAATCGTGGAGTGAAGAGATAACCTACAGAATGGGAGAGAATATTTGCAAAATATTCATTTGACAAAGGATTAATATCCAGAAATATAAGGAACTCAAATCAGTAGAAAAACATTGATTAAAGAATGGGCAAATGATCTGAATAGGCCTTTCTCAAAAGAAGATACCCAGACGTCCAACAAATATATGAAAAATATTCAGCATCACTAATCATCAGGAAACTACAAATCAAAACCACAGTGAGACATCATCTTATCCCAGTTAGAATGGCTATTAACAGAAAGACAGAAAATAACAATTACTAGCAAGAATGAGGAAGATGGTAATGTAAATTAGTGCATAACTGTTATTGAAAACAGTAAGCAGAGTCCTCAAAAACTAAAGGTTTCACCTATCCCACTGATGGTTATATGGCCAAAGGAAACAAAATCAACATATCAAAGAGATACCTGTGATTGTGTGTTTATTGTAATGGTATTTATAATAGGCAAGACATAGAATCAACCAAGGTGCCCATCAGCCCATCAGCAGGCGAGTGGATTTATCACAATGGCATATTATTCAGCTATAAAAAGAATGAAATCCTGTCATTTGAAGTAATATGGATCAACTGGAGAACATAATGTTAAGTGAAATAAGACAGACACAGAAAGACAAATACCATGTTCTCACTTATATGTGGAATACAAAGAAGTCAGTTTCATAGCAGTTGAAAATAGAACAGTGATTGCTGGAGGACAGGAAGTGTAGAAGCGAGAGGGGACAGCAGGAGGTCAGATAACAAGTACCAAAGTATAGTTAGATATGAGGAATAAGTTCTAGTGTCTATAGCCCTATAGAGTGGCTGTAGTTGACAACAATTTTATATATATTTTAAAAAGAACTAGAAGAGAGGAATTCAAAGGTTTCCAACACAAAGAAAGCTAAATGTTTACGGAAATGCTAATTACCCTAATCTGATCACTATATGTCGTATACATGTATCAAATATCACATTCTACCTACCTAAATGTGTACAGTAATTGTCAATTAAAAATAAGTGAAATATATCATCATGTGTATCAAAGAACCTATAAGGATTTATATAGGAAATTCCATGTAAAACAGTTTATTACTTTGAAAATTAGTAGTCATCTGGGTTGAGACTTCACAAAATTAATTTAGAGGAG